TCCTTTTTCAATCGTCGATACGATTTCATGGAGTGCGGTATCCACGGATTTTCCTTTGGAATATGCATGTTGGTTCGGGGAGAGGTTGTAATTTTTTATATTCCGTCGAATATATTCGTCGATGAGCCTCTCTAGAGTTTTAAGGAAGAATGAAGTGAGGCTTATAGGCCTGAAATCCTTCGGTTTCACATGTGCGGCCTTGCCTCCTTTTGGTAAGAATACAGCTTTTGCCTTTGTGCACTCATGTGGTATGTAAGTCAGGGTTAGGCAGGATGTAAAAATCTGAGAAAGCAGGGGGCCCAGTATGTCCTTAGCTTCCTGTAGTTGAGCGGGAAAAACTCCGTCAAGGCCCGGAGATTTGTAGGACTGGAAGGACATTAAAGCCCATTCCACCCTCTCCTCACTTACGACGTCCCTAACGGTATCACCCAGAGAAAAGTAAGTCCTAGGACCGGGCGAAAAACCGGAGGTGTCGTCCGAGCAGCCCGGGAAGTGAGTGCTCATAAGGACCTCCAGCATTTCGTTACATGATGTCGTCCAGTCACCGTTAGGCTTCTGGATAGAGTTCATACTCGAAGAGGATTTCGAGAGAACTTTCCTCAGCCTGTTGGCTTCAGAGTTCTCTTCTATGTTATTGCAGAAATTTGCCAAGATTCGCGTTTCGCCCTCTTTAGGGCCTTCTTGAAAACTTTGAGTGCGTCTTTGTATGGTTGCCAAAGACCTGTTTGCTTAGCATGATTGAAAAGCCTCCTGCTGTTCTTCCTCAGTGCTGAAATCTCCGGATTCCACCACTGGGGTTTCTTTTTGCCCTTCGGGAGGGTGCTTGGGCAGGAGGCTTTGAAAGCAGCATTACAGGCATTTGTCACAAAGTTCACTGCTTCATCAATTTTCGACGATGAGTCCAGCTCACCGAGAGAAACACCCTTTGTATTCGAGAGACTCGCTTCATCAGGTCTTAACGATAAGCAGGACTTATCGTGAGAAGCGTATCTACGTAGAGAGGCCGACAGCGTATTCCTATACTTTGCCCAGTCGGTTCGCTTTCTGTTCCTGTATGCTGTTAAAGGAGCAGGATCAAAATTGAGATTGAAACTGATGTAGAGGTGGTCAGAAAAAGAGTGTTCCTTGGACACCTGCCAGGCCCTTATCCGATCGGACGAACCGCTCGACACAAGGGTGATGTCCAGCACTTCCCTTCTAACACAGGTCACAAAGGTGGGATCGTTCCCACGGTTACATACAGTAAGATTGTGTAAAAGAATAAAGTCAAGTACACACACACCCCGGGAGTTGGTGTCACTTGAGCCCCAGATCGTGTTGTGTGAATTAGAGTCGGCCCCTATTATGACCGGGAGCTTTCTGCGATTTGCTTCCTTCACCGCTTCTTCCAGTCTATTGGGTGGAAAAACATGGCTGTCGTGGGCCATGTAGGTTGATGTCAGCCAGATAACGCTCTCCTTCAGCTGTACGCTGATGCATACAGTGTCCTCGTCGCTGTATTTGGAGAGTAAAAAATGAGAATATACTTTTTTAATTAGAATGCAAGCTCTGATCCTACCTATTACTGGAGCTGATACCACCTGGTAGGCATCAGAGTTCAGTCCGCAAACCTTGTTTCTGACGATCCAAGGTTCTTGGACTAGAATCACGTCCTCAGCTTTATCGCTGAGGCGAAGAAGGAGAGCAGCCGAGGCTGCCTTGGAGTGGTGCAGATTAATTTGTAGGATCTGCACCATCCTCAGAATCGGTTATGTCCATTGCTTCTAGCTCCCTCCGCTCGGCGGCGGCAATGAATGTGATGTCATTGTCCTCCTCCTCCGGTTCGGATACCAGAAGCTGGTCCTCGTCCAGCGTTGCCCATCGACTGTAGACCGACCCTACGTAGGCAGATACTGAGCCCGTGTCGCTCTCAGTATCTGTCGCGGTATCGGATACACTCACACTCGTTGGTGGGTCCACAGGTTCACTCGTGGTGTTTCCTGTGTAACCCGCGCTGCCTGCCACCGATGCCGACGCAGGGGCCGCAGGTCCGCTCGAGGCGTTGCCTGTTTTGTTGGCCCCTTCGTCGGGAAGAATATCTGAGGGAGCGGGTCCGCTCGAGGCGTTGCCCGTTTCCCCCCTCTTGCTGATCCGTTCTCTGGTGGATTTTTACTGTGATTGAGTAAAAGCCGTAGCTTATTACCCCACCACAACCCTCGAGAACTGGGACAGAAGCATCGTTGATGACAAAGAAAACAAAACGCTGCTTCCCCTTGGTCTCGCCAGCTCGGACTATCCTCCAATCGCTGGTGGGCAGTCCTTCGTTGCCCATGCGGATGAACTCGAGTGTCTCCTCCGGTTTTGACGGCTCAGCTGGTACCCAGGCCCAGGCTCGCGGCCTGTTAGGGATTTCATCCCTATGGACGGCAACTAAGTCTGCCCCGGGCCACAGCTGTCCAACCGTGGAGATAGCTTCTTTGTAGAGCCGGACCGCGCGCTCATCGGCGCACGCTACCAGCTTAACTCGCCCTTGATGCCATCCGGCATCACGGACGACTGGTGCAGGGCCGGGTACTTCTGGAGTATCCCTTTATATACCCTGCATAAACCCATCAGGACGGACTTCCAGTTGTCCGTAGTGATGTGGCCGTCCGGATGCCCCTTGTCCAACACCGCCAGCGTGAGGTGCTCTTTGGCGGCTTCACTGAACGGCTTCGTGTTGGATACGGCCATCGACGGACGGTTAGATGGAGAGGAATCCCTATACCTCTTGGACTCACCCGAGGTGTCGTCTTGAGATCGCTGTCTCTTGGAGGCAAGGTTCTTCCTTGGGTTTTCCGAGTGGGTGGTTTGTCCTTCCCGCCTTTCCCGGAGGATCGCTTGTCGCTGGCGGCGAAGACTCCCATGGCCCACTTAAGAGAGGCTTTTTGCTCCTCCGTCAGCTGGTCATGCGGGATGACCCCCAGCCTTTTGATGACCTTAGGGGCTGCCCTTCGGTCACGCTGGGCCCTGACGCAGGGCGAAACTTTCGTTGCAGCTTTGGAGCAGCCGGGGCGCAGATCGAGGTCATTTGCCCCGGTCTTCGATTTACTCGCGGGAGTGGTCCTCTGCTTGTCCGTGGAGGACTTTTGCTCGACCACTGCACCTTGAGTTTTTAGTGTGCACTGGATGGGCATGGGGGAGGGGGCCGGCTTCGACTTTCCCTCATGGGGTATAGTACCACCGGCATCCCTGGAGGTTCGCTTTCCCTCTGGGGGTTTAGCAATCCTTCCAGCTTCTGCGGAAGCCCGAAGCTGCTTGGGCCGTTCAGGCCCTCTCGGTTCCGTCGATGCGGTTTCCGAGGTGGTTGGTGTTTTGGACTTTTCATCGCCGTGTCCAGCGGCGGCACTACCCGTGCAGGGTTCCGAGGCTTCTTTATTTGTATTCATCTTTCATCTGGTTCTTTGGCCACCTACTGAGCCGAGGCCTTTCGGTGGCCGGAAAATAAGGAAAGGGGAAAAAACGGTCGACCACGGCAGAGCCCCATGCCGCAGCAAGTCCACCGTTACTCCCGGAGGCGGACAGGTATCCGGGAGGCGCCGTTAGAATACAGTCGGAAAGCCCCCTGACTGCAAACCTTCCAATGGGCACGGTGACGCATGACACCCTGGATTAGAGGGAGAGGGTAGATTTGGCACCCTCCGGGTCTAGATCCATAGTGTTCTGTAGAAACAGGGTCCCCTCTTGAAGGATGCATTTCGCGCACTATGGTCTTGATGTGGTAGTGGCTAGGCATACAGGGTCCCCTGTATGCTGTGTTAAGCTTCATCCACACCCTGCCTGAAATAAGTTAATATCGCTGACGCTGGTAGCTAAGTGTTATCTTCCGCGTAGACTCAAACGAGAAGTAGCAGATTAAATTAACGCTGTCGAGTTTAAATAGCGCCAAAGCAGCTGCACTTGATAGTAGTTGGTTGAATAAGGAAAATGAATTAGCAACAAGAGTTTACGGGATGTACATAGCTCAGTGGTTAACGCTTCTGACTTTGAACATCGAATTCGCAGGTTCGATCCCTTCTGAAGTCTAGAAAAAAGAAGTCTGATGAAGAGATGTGGTGATCTCCGAAATAGCTGCTATAACTTCTACCGCTTAGACTTTGGTGCTTTTTCAATATTTCCTAATAAACAATCGTGGTACAAAGCTCAATAAAAATATTAAAAATAAAATGTTAATAAGCCACAATAACATTGACAAATAAGTCGCGTTAGTTGCGGACCGCCTGACAAACACCGATATAGAAGGGGAAAGTTAACTAAAGTTCGTTGTCCAGCGGGAAGGACTTGCTAACGGCCCAAGTTTTCGCGTTAATACACATATACACACGCATGCGTACACACATACGTATTTTAGTTTACTCGTAAAATGACGCTAAGGCAGAGAACCAGCTTTTCGATATATTTAGGCTTAGGGCCTAAACATACCGCCCCCTTGCGGTACGCAACATCTGTACTTGGGAAACGCTCGAGCTACCAGCTTCATATGTGCTTACAATTTCAAAACAAGTGTATGAATTCATGTTTCCGTACGACGCTTCGATTAAAAAAAATACCCGACCAGCCGACGTGCACCTGTTTATTGGTGGAATGAGCAAATAGCGGACTTGCGACTGCAATGCAACAGAGCGAGAAGAAACTACCAGCGTGCCAGAAGGTCTGAAAGCTTTACCGACGAACATGCTATATACAGAGCTAAACGCAAGGAGCTTAAACAAGCCATTAAGCTCAGCAAGCGAAAATGTTTTACTAGCTTGTGTGAAAGCGTCCAAAATGGCCCCAGGGGCTTAGCATATAAAGTTGTGACGAAAAGGCTGAAGGCGTCGGTTCGACCACAGTTATTATGCCGTTGAGGCGTTATCCCCAATGCAATCAAGTTTTGCGGGAGAAATTTTTCCTGCTACGATGTTCGAGTTCCCCATGGTTAGCACGGAAGAAGTACTTCTTGCGGCCAAGTGATTTAAAGATAAAAAATCACCGGTGCCGGATGCAATTCCAAATCGTGTCCTCAAGCTTGCTGTAGCTGCGAACCCTAAAGTGTTCGTCGATAGTTTTAACGAATGCTTTAAAGAAGGAGTATTTCCTGATGTATGGAAGCGCCAGCGGCAAGCCTGGAGTTCCACTTCGTCCTATTGTCTCTTCTATTATGGTCCCCTGTTACAAACTGTCCAAATACATCGGCGAGATTTTACAAAGTCTAATTTCAGGAAAATATAACGTCAAGAATGCTTTTAATCTTAAAGATAAGTTAACCAACGTCCATGTGTGTGATGAAGATGTTTTAGTTTCGTTTGATGTCCTTTCCCTATTCACAAATATACCAACGACATTAGCTTCGAGAATAATTATGAATAAGTGGGACCTAATTCAACAGAAAACTTCTATTCCAAAAAAGAAATTTCACAAAATAATAGACTTTTGCCTCAAGGATAACAATTACTTTATGTTCAGCAACAAACTATACGCACAAACATTTGGAATGCCCATGGGAAATCCAATTTCTCCAACAATCGCTGACATTATCATGGACAACCTACTGGACAACACCATCACTGAGCTGAAAGAAAAATTTAACATTGACATAAAGTTTGTAACAAAATACGTGGACGACATCTTCGCTATTATCAAACGTAATGACGCGAATATTATTCTAGATACTCTTAATAAATACCACAATAAACTGAAATTTACTATGGAAATTGAAAAAGACTCAAAAATACCATTTCTAGATGTTTGTATTTATCGAGAAAAGCAAAACCTCCTTCTAGACTGGTACTCAAAACCAACCTCCTCTGGACGCCTGATAAATTACTTCTCATCTCAACCAAGAAAATATAAAATTAACACCGCAAAAAACTTAATCCACAAAGTACTGACGATAAGCCACACACAGTTCCATGACACCAATATAGAGAAAATAACCAACATCCTAAAAAACAATAATTATCCTGTCAAATTAATACACGAACTCATAAATGAGGGAATAATAAAAAATAGCAACCACCCTAACACACAATCGGACTCAGAAACAACAAAAAGCGCAAAGAAATTCTTCAGTGTTACATACATTCCCAATCTTACCGATAATTTTGATCATAACATAACAAAAACACAAAACACAGCACTTGCATATAAATCTAATTGCACACTTTCGAGAATATATACAAAAACAAAGTGTCCAGTGGAGGTCCACCAACAAAACAACGTAGTCTACGAAATTAAATGCAATGGGAAGGAAACAGAAACATGCGGAAAGTTGTACATTGGGACAACGAAGCGGCCTTTAGGTGTTCGATTAGGCGAACATGAAGCGGACATAAGGAAACGGAAAAGCAGTACAGCATTATCACAGCACATTTTAACAAGTGGACACACAGCTGATTTCGCGAACACAAATATTATTGACAAAGAAAGAAGAGAACAGATTCGATACACAATAGAGAGCCTTAGAATTATGCAAAAACGAGAAATGACAATTAATAAGAAGGAAGATACAGACAACATTGCGGCCGCATACATAACTTGTTTACAGAAATGAAATTTTCAGTACTGACAAAACTACCACATCAAGTGGTATGGATATATTTTCTTTTTTAGTGATTAAGTATTTATACATATACATATCTATGTTTGAATATCTAAACAATGTAAGTTGGTTTGTCATTAAATTCAATTTGTTGTTATATATGTATACATTTTTGTTTTTTCGGTTAATACTTAATGTGTGTGTTTTTTTGTATTTTTGTATATTTGTTGTAACAGATAAAATAAACACTACCCCTGAGGATGCTAAAAAGTTTTAGCGAAACGTCGGGTAAAAAGTGGAATAAAGTAGTTTTATTCGCACAAGAACTGAAAGTATCAGACTAGCCTACAAACATAAAATAAAAATAAAAAAAAGGCAAGTTTTATTGCCGAAAACTGGGAAGCCACCAGAAGATCCCTCAGCATATCGTCCTATATGCATGTTGGATACGACGGGAAGTTGAAGCAATCGAGGAAAAGGAAGGCCTCTCAGAGACACAGTTCGGCTTCAGAAAGGGGCGGTCAACAGTAGATGCAGCCAGTTTGGTAAAGCAGTTGGCGGAAGATGCAATCAGTGGCGAAAGGTGGAAGGGAGGAGCAAAGGAGTACTGCTTGCTTGTCACCCTCGATGTAAGAAATGCGTTCAATACCGCAAGTTGGAAACACATAAACGCCGCTCTACGCAGATTCGAGGTACCCGCATACCTTCGCAAGGTTGTAGACAACTACTTAGCAAATAGAGTGCTACTGTACAATACGGAGAACGGTCAAAGAACATAAAGTCTCGGCTGGAGTACCACAGGGTTCGCTTCTGGGTCCAATACTTTGGAATATCATGTACGATGGTGTACTCCGACTATCCTTGCCAGAACGATTGAAAATTGTTGGATTTGCTGACGACATAGCGCTAGTGGTGGTAGGGAAGCATCTAGAAGAAATAATTATCGCAGCAAATAGTTCAATCGTTCAGATCCAAGCATGGCTGGCCGAAACAGGGCTCGAACTTGCGCACCAAAAAACCGAGACAGTTCTAATAAGCCGTAGAAAAGTCAGAGAAGTGGCGACTATAAACGTTGGTCAACAAGAAATTACGTCAAAGGCGACCTTAAAATATCTAGGCATAATGTTTGATGCGAGGCTTACCTTCAAGGCGCACATTGATTATGCTGTCGAGAAAGCTGAAAAGGTGGCAGGGGCACTAACAAGGTTTATGCTGAACGTAGGAGGCCCGAAACAACAGCATAGACAGCTATACGCAAGCGTCGTGCGCAGTGTGCTGCTCTATGGTGCACAAATCTGGTATGAAGCATTCAGCAAGACGTCATATGTACGAGAAGTAAAGTCTTTGCACAGATTTTGCGCTATCAAAGTATGCAGTGCATTCCGAACTACGTACGAAGAAGCAGCACTAGTAGTGGCAGGACTCTGCCCCATTGACATTTTAGTGCAAGGGACAGGCCCCGGCCTATAAACCAAACGAGACGCGAAGAGGTGGGACCGCAATGGCAAACGAGGTGGGACCGCGCAGCCAGCGGTCGTTGGACGCACCACCTCATACCCTCGATATCAAGGGTAAGTAGGAAACATGGGGAAGTGGACTTCCATTTGACCCAAATATTGACAGGGCGTGGGTGCTTTAAATCATATTTATACCTATTTAAGCACGAAGACGATCCCTTCTGCACCTTCTGTGCAAAGGATATTATTGAAGACGCTGAACACTGCTTTTTCGTCTGTCCGAGGTTTGCTATCGAAAGAGATGACTCGAGCAGGAAGGTGGGGAGGCCACTTACGGTTCATAACCTTGTGGATACTATGCTTGAGTCAGAAGATAACTGGTCCGTTGTTTGCAATTTGGCAAGCACATTTTTATCTAAATTGCGTCGAGCGGAACAACTCCGCAGAATTTCATAGATTTGCAACAGGCCGCTCCCCCTCCACGAAGTAATACCTTACGGTAGTTCCACGGTGAGAGGGAAATAGAGCAGGGGTGGGCTTTTAGTGCGGTGAGCCGAAAGGCAAGTCCCACACTTTTCGACTTTCAATGCTTTGTGCCACCTCTACAAAAAAAAAAAAAATGTTTGTTGTGCTGTTGAGAGCGGCGCCACCATTGCCAAGATCTTCGACCAGCGGTTCCATCCTTTTTCGAATAAAACACCTAGTGAGGGATAGAGTGAAAATCATAGGCAAACAAACATGATTATAATTCAGTGCACTTTATTTCATTAAAAACTTCAAATAATTAAGATTTTTATTTTTATTTTATATAAATTAAATTGACGGCCGGCACCCTCTGACAGCACCCAAACGAACACGTCGGCTCCAAGGGCAAGACGTATCGGTGCTGATGCGAAAGAACTTGGGTCCGCAAGCCGAATGTGGATATACGGCAGGGCAACTGATAGGTCCTTATGCATAGAAAGCACCCTAGTTGCCCGCCGATATGTGTTTCCTGAAGCCGTAGATCTTGGGCCAGATCTGCGGACAAGATTGTGCTCGGCACACAGACGTCAATAAGCGCGCGTCTCACGCCTCCACCTTCACAACAGCAGTCGGAGCCACGGCTATAGTGGGCAGGAGTGATGGAGTTATTATAGAATTGCGAAAGGCGTGCGGTCGTGATACCTGATGAGGCCTAGTCACCGGTCTATCTTCGCGTTGAACTGTTGTTGACTGGCGTAGGCGGAAAAGCCGGGTTCCCGCTCTGCGGCTTTGTCGCCCTTGGTAACGTGGTCGGTGAACTCGTGAATCGGATCCAGCCCTACTTTTGCGTTCATGTCGCAGCAGAGGCCGGAAAGACCGTGTTTCGGGTCCCCAGTTAGTAAGCGGACGGAGAGGCCGAGTCCCCGCTCCACGCCCAATAATTTTCCCTTCTTCAATCTCTGGACCGGGAGGCCTAGTCTCGGTTCCAGAGTCGGACGCGTATAGTGAAAGAGTGCCGTCTGCCTCGGCTGAGTCGTCTTCGTTGCCTCGTGCCCTCCATGACTCACATTCTCGTTGGCAGTGGAGTGGTGTTGCTCACCACACCGACGGCAACTTCCCTCGCTTTGACAATCCTTCAGCTGGTGGGTCATGGCGAGGCAGTTTGCGCAATAGGGGCCCAGTAGAGCTTCGCGAAGTCTTTCCTCCGGCGATTTTGCCTGAGAAATAGGGCAGAGCCGAATGGGGTGGTGTGCGTCGCATAGGCGGCACGGTAGCGGTGGGTGCGTTGTTCGGCTCTTTTCCGCATAGTGGCGATATGAAACATCGTTTCGGCTGAAATGGGGTCGAATTTCGGTGCTGTCGATACTGTAACGTGTATACCTAGTAAATTTTTTATGTAAAATACTTCCAGATAGTTGCTTCTCCATACTCAAATACAATGTAGCTAAAATATATTAATAAATATATGCCTAATAAAATTAGGACTATTTCGGGGATTTTCAACTTTTTGATATTTTCTTCCCCAAATTTGACTATCTCTGGTGAAAAAAAATGTACTGAGCTATAACTTTACATTACATAAAAAATGCTCATTTAATAAAGATTTCAGAAAGGTGCCACGCTTAACGTTTCGAATAGAAAAAAAAAGTTATAGCCGCTTTTGTGGGCAAAGGACTGAGACACGCTAGAATGTATTTAATTGATTTAAATTTAAGTTGCTCTTGTTACCGACCAATGACATGCTAAATAGTACAAAGATACCTGCTCCTGACATTATTTTATGTTATGTACCGGAATTCGAACTAGAGTCTATAACAAGGGCTTTATCTATCAATATTTCATGTAAAGGATGGGTTCACGTGAAATAAAATATACATGAGTTGTTTGAAGAAAAATTTATTCATTTATTGATAAAATATGCTCAAATTGGCGACCTTCTACTCTAATACAAGCTCGGCACCTTTTAAGAAAAGACACTTTTAGAGATCTTAAACTCAATTGGGCTATCTCAGCAGTAGCTCCATTTATTTGTTCCCGCAAATGCTCTTCGTTTTGAATTGGTTTTGAATAAATTTTGTCCTTAAGACAGCCCCAGTAGAAAAAATCTAATGGATTCAGGTCTGGAGATCGAGCGGGCCACGTGATTGGCCCGTATCGTCCAATCCATCGGCGAGGATAAGTTTCGTCTAAATGAGCTCTTAATTCACGTCCGTAGTGAGCAGGGCACCCGTCATTTTGCAGCCATAGTCTTCGCGGCAGGTTTAAGGGTACATCTTCTAAAATAGTTGGAAGCCGTTCCTGAAGGAACTCTAAATAACTGTGAGAGTTGAGCGTTGGCGGCAGTTCCACAGGTCCCAATATCTGACAATTAAAAATACCGCACCATAAATTTATTTTGTACCGGTACTGCGAACGATCTTCTCTCATTTTGTGAGGATTGTCTATCTGCCAACTGTAAAGTTATGTAAATTAAAATAACCATCACGGTTGCATGATGATTCATCACTCCATATTATTTTATTAAAAAAGTCGGGGGTCTGAATCATGCATTCGCAACATTTCTCTGTAATATCTAACCCTCGACAGGTAATCTCTCTCTTGTGGAGCCTGAACACGTTGAATGTGGTAGGGATGGTATTTTAAAGCTTTGTGAACTGAAGTTTTTGGTATTACAGTCCGTCTTTCCATCATTCTCCATGAAGTCGATGGACCTAGTTCCACTTCCTCTAACACAACTTCAACATCTACCGTTGCAGGACGTCCTATTTCACCGCCATGCCTTCCAGGTATGCGACCTTAAAAAAGTTCAAAATGATAGTTAAAAGAAGAATGGCTTCAAACAAGAAAGGTGTAAAAAT